CCCAGTGGGACGATAGTCCATTTCATAWCAAATTAATATTGTTTATATGTTTTTTCATGTCTGCGTTGTTTTCTGTTCATTTTTAAACAATAAWAAATRTTACCTGATTTATCCACAAATSTTTGGCAAAAATGCCAGTTTTTAMAKKTKCAACTTTGACTTAGATATCTTAMAGCAAATGAYAACATTGCAARYATTAYCTCTTAATATCCAAAACGCTTTTSACAAATAAATTGCTCCATTTAATCTACCTGAASAGGCAAATATTAAAAACATTRATAAAAAATTGGRGATTTCTTGAGAAAAAAAACACATTGCTCCTTCATTTACTTTTTCRCATAATGTAAAWAAAMCAGTAGACATGAAACTAAATGTTAAAGTACATCAACATTTGAACAGATAWATGTTTCAGTTGATCTCATGCAATTGTATTAGCTTGTAACGTTTTGAAAATATAAATATTATAACAGCATGAAGAGACAAGTTGCYTGTCGAGCGATGAAACAAAAATTTTAATACAATGTTMAATCGCGAAAGTTCTTTTATTCAATTTTATKCTGAGCGTTGCATAACGATCATTTCTTAAACCTTGAACGGGCATGCTCAGACAAAAGAAGAAATGTACGTAAAAGTTCGATCGCCCACCATCCACTGAAACAGCAAAAGGACTTTCTAATTACAATCTGAATTAGTGCCCAATTTGCAACCAGACTAGCAACGCTGTGGTAACCCGAACGAGGTCACAAGATGCCTGAACAAGTACCATGGAGGTAGAGAACCCATCAAATAATGTCACTGAATACGGTTCTAATTTGAATATAAAGTTGATTAACATATTTAGGTGGCTACCATCAGCTTCTTGGGTGTATAATGCCAATCGGAACCCATTTGTCTATTRCGGAATATTCAAATTCAACACATTATTGTTATTATGCATAAAAAACTGYGCGACTCCAATGCAGATTAGAAGMGYATTTTGTAACAGAATATTTTTACATCCGGTATTGGTTCTGCATTTGGTCTTTGTTATACGTACCTATTTTAAGCGTTAAACTAAGAATATTTTSAGAMGCTCTTGAAGTTTCTTTSGATTTYGATATGAAATGTAATAATGAATACTTTTTCAGCTTTTAAGTACATAATTGGAATTTATTTTGATTGAAATGCAATAATGATCCTTAAGGGTCACATTTGATTTTGTAGAGGCTCGTAAGGAGACTTACAAACTTATTAATCGGATTATAATATCAAATCGAAACCATCACAACCTCGCAACAACTGAACAATACTGTATATCATATGTAGACATGCAAATAACCTGGAAAAACAAAAACTTCCAGATTTAAATCAGCTTTAATCATTCGATCTTATTCGATGTACCACCGAGTGAATTTAATTAATTTACCCACGACTGTATTATCTAACGCAGTTTTTCCATTTCAGTAACACTAAACAACGCAAACATATTTTTGAAACACATTCGGTGGGCTTAAAAACATTTAATAAAATTTGTTAAAATCACAACCGTGAAGGTGTCTACAATGTCTGGTCGGGCCTTTGATGATTCCCACGCATTATTAAACAATTTATCTACAATAATATTTTATTGTCCTGCTATATTTAGTTTATGGTTCTGGCGTTACAGTTTTATTACGCAAATAATCCGCTCGAGTGTATTTGTTTCGTGATAACTTTGTCATGCAGGTGTAAGTCGGAAGCAATTAACATGAGGAGTTTTAGACGTTTGCAACAACTTTTTTTGTAGTTACTCTGTTTATAAACAGTTCAATAGAACTTCATTTTATATGGTACTTAATTATAAGTTGATCAAAACGTACAAGGAAAAGAAAATAAATCTTATTTCTATGGTTTCTATCTCCGAAACGTCGCAATTTTAGTAAACATTTTATATTATGTAGATACATTGTTCTAACCTGTTCTGTTGATTCCTGAATTTATCAAGGTTAAACCTGAATCACCCTGTATATAATAGCAACGCTAAACTAATGTGTTAATTATAGACAAGAAACATCCTACAAATCGATGACTGATGTGCATTATGTGGTCCATCAAATTGTCTCAAAGACACGTTTAATAGGAAAAAAAACACATTTGATTATGAAGATTCTAAAACAAGACATTTAATTCAACATCTGATAGAAGAATAATTATATTAATTGTTTCGGAATTCTAATATAGTGGTAGTTATTCTAAGATATACTTAATTTCCAATTAGCAGAACAAAGTCCATTTCACCAAACACCTATTTTTCGCGTACACTTTGGAATGTTGTGGAATTTTTTCGACATTCAAAATACCACTTTGTTCAGCATCAAAGTGCGTAACTTCAATCTAACTCAGTCGACCATGCTAAATGGTCGCAGCTTAAAACTATGCCAGTCACTAGTCTGGATATTTTTTTGGAAATATCGATGTGTTAAAAGGCTACTTTCTTACATCCATCATTTTATATTCAGAAATTTTTGCAAATCTATCATCAGCGAGAAATTTTTGTTCGGGAGGAACTTTGCTTTTGCCTCGTAAATTTTGATGAGCTGTCTGAATATTTAGACTTTCTACTGCGAGTTTTTCTTTAATTAGCCAAATATTGGTCTGATTTTATTGCCACAGAATAGAGCTTTAGTATAGAACTACTTAAAATGAAATAGTGTCAATAATACAGATCAAAAAATATAAATTTATCCACATATTGAAGAAGTTAATCATTTAAATCGTACGGTTGTAAGTTGACTAATATTTAATGGCTTTTTATTTTAAACAGTGCGTAATTTTCAATTATTTGAAAATTGATATGGTCACGAAAGATTCTTAGGTTTAGTTAAAGACATTTTATCACGATAGTAAAAATCTGATGTTCTTGTATCATACGTATTATGATGATCCTGATTTAAAACATTCTTTTGTTACGATGTAAATATGTATAGTAATTATTAATATATAACATACAACATGCACAGTTAATGGAGCAGATTCTTTAAATTTGCCTATAAAAGTATGTCTTAATCCTTAAAGCCATAAATGTAATATTTTACAGTTTTGCTGTAGTAATTCCTGCGTGTTTCAATCAGGTTTTTATCATAAGTTTTCTTTTGGTTCTTGTACAATTCTTTGCAGTTATTGTATACAACATTTTTTAATTTTTTAGTATTTATTAAAGGCCATATTAAGAGCACGTTTACTGAAAAAAATTTTTTTTTTGGAAAATAATCATAAAATAAATCTTAATAAAACTATTCCAATGTATACTTAAATCATATCCATCACATGCAAATGCAGATAAACACAAATATATTCCAAATCCCCAAAAAATATGTAATGTTTTTATCTATATATTTTTTTAAATTTATTGAATGAACATGAAAAGTATAAAACTTAATAATCCAAATATTTCCACATTAATTCTTTGTTGTCAAAAGTAACGTTTTCTGATACCTTAATTTTCTAGTACGCTTATATTCATCAGAACAGTGTAATCGTTCAAGCAGACCACTTCTGAAGATGAATTGTGAAGATGAAATTCTACCGAACGACGGCCTAAAAACCCGAAAAACCCATTAGTTGCATTAATATGTGCGTTACAAAAATTATACTTTTAAATCACCTTTGGTTTGATTATCATAATTTGATTCAATATTGAAACCTCCACCCAGAAGAACTAATTTACTTTAACTCTGAATATTACTACTGTTAAGCGATTTAGGAAGGGATTTAGATTGTCCTTTCAAGACCTACCTGTATATTGACATTAACATGAAATATACGTACAAATGTTCTCATAATTTTCGAACATTACTTTGCATATTCCTACTTGCAATAAATAACAGATTAACTTTAAAGAAAATTTTATGTTTTGCCTGTAACGTAAATAACAGGGTCTCAAAATAGATTTTAAAATTATAGTCAATGCAAGATGTTGATTTGGATTGCTTGTCCTCAACAAAATACTTATTTTTTACTATACTTACTTTTTGTAAAATGAGTTTAACATATAGTAAGCAATATTAAGTTTTTATAGAATCTATTCAGTTTCTTCTTAGGTAAACTTATCCTAAGACATTAAAAATAACATATTTTTATTCAACAGAATCATTTGCGATTTAAATACTTATGATCCACTATGCCTCACAATGATGGAATCCGTTACTTGTTATCCGTGCTGTACACTCAGTAGTATACTTAGTTAAATTAAAACAATACAATTGATCCCATAAAAACAAATAACAAGGCACTATTTACAAGTAGGTAGCGAATTATTTTATATTTTGTTCATTTTATCAATTACCGAGTTCAGACTTTTGTGGGCTTAGCAATTTGTGGGAAGCTGGTGACCTAACTGGCTTCCTGAAAGAACTTTTCAGAAAGTGGCCGGAAAACCACAATCAACTTGGAACTGTTATATCGTATAAAAATGTAAAACCGCGGGTACTTTTTACAGGTCATCGTTATGGAATAAGTATATCAGTATGGTATATGAGGATGTTTATGATAGAGAATTGATGGTAAAAGAGAAGAGAAGTGGGGCTGAAAACACACGATAAAATTAAGTGAAACAAGCTTCCTTTGGGTATACGTGGTATCACAATAGCGTTCAGTACATTGTTTTTTAAAACCGTTGAAATTACATACACACATAATTGCATAGCCTGTTTCATTGATTGATAGCAAATCAATATGTCGGCAAATATACAGCAAGCTCCGTTAAGTAATAAGGCTTAATACGTTTTCAAATTAAATTTCGTCATTTGATTAAACGGAAAAAAATCGATCATCGCAACTATAATAACAAATAAGATATCAAAAGTGCTCACTTCATTTGAAACTCTTTGTATGTATGAAACGTTTTATCTTTTTGAATATTGATGTACAAGATGTGCACTGCGTCCATGCAGTAAAGCTAAGCGTAGTTTCAATTTTTGGCATTGAAACCTTATTTTAACGCATTGTGAGCAATTAACTGATAATAATTATGTTATTTTCAGTTTGAAATGCCTGAAACGTCAACACCATCCACGTCTGATGGGTCCCTTGCCCTCTCTAGACGTCCATTTCCCTTGTCATCTTCTAGCGGATCTGGCCGACCTTCATCGGCATCCAGATACGATAGAAATGGACAAATGTCTTATCATCACCAAGTAAGTTGTTGATTCTTTCAAAATATCATTGTGTCATCATTTGATGTCATTCTACGTCTAGGTTCCTTTGGCTCCTACCATGGGCCATCACAGAGAAACGTCCGCTTTTGTACCAGTGGTTCCTTCTAGGAATATGCAGCATCCTCTTCTATATGGTGGAGAGATGCATCCGCTTATTGGGCTGGAAAACAGCGACGGCGGCAAAGGGGCAGAAGGTATTTGTGGCTTCTTTTGTCAGTAACTGGAATACTTTGATGGTTTTCTTAATGCATGCAGGTTCATCCGGGCTACGTAAATCTTCTTCCTCCTTTGACCTGATGGCCATGATGGCCGATAAGCGCAAAGAGCTACATTTGCGAGAAGAAGCAGCATGCGTGGCTGCAGCTCACGCCGCCGCCATGATGCTGCCTCATAGGTCTGGGCATCATGCTAGTTTAATGGACACCTCTAATGGACAGCAAACTCATGGTTACTCAGGCTTTCTGCCAGCCAGTCCTGCCAATGCAGGTTCTTTTGCGTTCCCAGGAGGCAGTACGATGTTTCCACCAGGTACTAAAGTCGCTTTTGATATGGTAGCAGAACATAAAGATTGAAATTCTTACCAAGGACCTCCTCAAATTCACGCTCACTTGGATAGAAGATTACTGCGAGCTCCAGGCCGCGCTTCTAGACCGAAGAAGCAATTTATATGCAAGTTTTGCAATAGACAATTTACCAAGAGCTACAACTTGTTGATCCACGAAAGGACTCACACAGATGAGCGGCCTTATAGCTGTGATATTTGCGGAAAAGCTTTCAGAAGACAAGATCACTTAAGAGACCATCGGTAAGTTCTCTAGTTTTTTGATTGCATGCAGTAGCTGATAAAGTGTTAAGAAGCGCATATTTTAATAAAATTATTGCGTTCAAAGTATAACTAGCCTACTAAATGCAATGGCATTTAAATTATCACATCGACGGATCAGAGCTCTTCATAAAGAAATAGCTTAAATTTAAATCCCGGCTTAATTTGAGAATAAATGGTTTCTAACCAGTTTTTCTTGACAATCGTCTTGATCCCATTATAAATTATATTATTAAATTCTTCAATATAAAAGTGCCGTCCCTATTTATCAACGGATTAAAGCATTCCATTGCCCTCGTATGTGAATATCCAATGATGACGGCTAAAGGTAAAAGATTTTAATTTATGGTTAAATAGGTTTTTGTTTACCTGGCTTGGTGTGGACGGTTATTTTGCAAATTAACTTGACTGTTTTAGCCCGCGTTATATTATCAAAGAGTAATTTTTTATTTCACTTCATTTTAAAATTATGAAAAATTGGGAAGGTGTGAATCCTAAAAGTATTTTGTACAGTAATCGTCCAAAGTGAGTTCATAAACCGGTATGTGTCTACATCTAATCTACATCAACAATAAGATAAACGATGAGAATTTTAACTTTGAAATATATTTTAAATATTTCCAATAAAAATTGCTTGCAGCCGATGGCAAGAGACGATGATAGCATTTACAGGTGCAACACATTGTTTCTTCGATTTTGTTTAACAAGAAAGTCCATATGGATCAACCACTTAAGAAACGTTAATTTTCTAAGAAAAAGTAGAAATGTTGTTCAAGGTTGTATGGGAGTTGTGACTTCAAACTTCGATAAAACGATTCATTAGTTTTTTTCATCTTTCTTAAATTTATATATTCTTTACCTGCTCCAGGAGCCCGTTTATTGCTCTTGAATTTTAATTTCACTATTTATTCTCAATTATTTTTTTCAAATATGTTTCTATTGTCTTCTAAATTTTTTCTTACAATGAAGAGTTTTTTAGCGTCCGAAAATTCTAAATGAAAGGGATTTTTCGCGGCTTTAGCGAACAAATAATTTTTGGAATAAGAAAAATTTACTACTTTCGACAGGACTTGAAACTGCGACCTTCATGACTCCGGCATAATTATTTCTATTACCTATTTATATTATTCATATTATTTCTTACTTTCATTCGATGGATTTTTTCAATTCAATAATGATGAATCGTTAATTCTTGCACAGTACATACTTAAAATTTCGATTGATTGGACTTTTATCACTATTTTAAACGTATCTACTATCTTAATTTTTGTCATTCGTTTTGTTTTATTTTATGTTATTATAAACTTTCAGAATGGTATGATATGATGATTGAGAGGTCATGTGTGTGTAAAGAATATCAAGAAAGTACGTAAAATACGATTCATTTTAATTTATTATTTGGTGACCGATAAACTCTAATTCGTTCAACGAATAATTTGTGAATCCTTTTTTTTTAAAGTTCAGTTTACACATTTTTCTCCTGAAGTTTTTATATATCAGCGCACGTTCAATATGGGCAAGCTATTTAAACATAATGTTGATAAGTTTTTCGAAAAAAGAGCGAAAACCTTATGAGAACTAAGAACGAAAGCTCCCAGGAGCGATTGAATTGGAATAAAACTTTTAGTTCAGCATTAATTGACCAATATTTTGATACATTTGTTATCATTTGTTTTTAGTTATCACGGGTTTTTAGCAGCGTGTTTTCATTTCTGTGATTGATTCTTTCTTGAGTTCTTTCATCAAGCTGTTTATTATCTTTCTGTTTAATTACATTTTGAAACCAATTTTAACATTTCTGTCTGTTGCGCTTTACATACTCCTGGCGCCTTCATTTCATTTTGTTTTTCGGAAATAGTTTTGCATATATCTGCAATTTTCTGTGATTTTCTGTGATTTAACACTTTGGATTATTTTTATATTCAAATAATTGTTTTCTGTTGCAAACATTCAATATGTTACAAATAACGCTTTGGAACTGACTATTTTAATGCAGAGACCGAATCTTCTATTGAACAGTTCTGATATTTAAGTGTAGGCTCAGCTTTCCGTCTGATCTGTTGCCTCAATTTATCTTTAGCATTCACGATGTTTTTTTTTATGCAAAATGATTGTGATTGAATTAATTGATTATTAAATTCCATTTTGCAATTATAGATTTCCAAGTCAAACACTTGTAGCCTCAGTAAGAGCTCGCCAAAGTAACTCAGTAAGACTTGAAATTGAGTGAATCTTTAAGCTTTATTAGATTATTTGAGTAGGATTTGAATGTCTTGTGCCTTACATACCTACTGCATGCATATATATTTCTGGGCAGATGTAGCTGAGCAAGAACAACTCTATAATTTGAAAAAATCTCCAGCAAGATAGATGGTCCTTCTTATGAATTTTTTGTTAATAATTTTCTACAAATTTACATGCGATCTTCTGGCCCCTATAATTACGATTTTAAAAGCAATCGTGTTTGGGTTTTTGTGAGGGTCAATTAGGCATCCTCATGTGGAGGTCGTCGATGTTTTTTACCATGCCAGCTAGCAGAATATCGTGGGAAACGGGTACAAACGGAAACAAAAAAGTACAATTTTCGCCTTTGGACTGTTTGAATCAAACCAGCAATGACCTTTATTTGGGAACCGCTCTGACCATAACACAAACAAAGTCCCTTGGATTATTTGTCAACGCGAAGCATTAGACAAACAATCAATTTCAAAACAACCATCATCTGGCTGGGTATATTTTGGAAGACCATTTCTAAGATAGAAATCTCCCTTTTGAAACACAGTGTGAATACGAACTTTTTAATCCCTTGGTTGGATATTGGTGGGCGGTGAACATCCTCATATGTTCAGTGTCGTACGTACAAGAAAATAAAATTCGACTTGAATTAATATGGAATTCAAAAAGTTTGTTTAAAGAAAGTCCTGCTGAGAATACAGCCAAACATTCATGTATTATTGAAAAGCTTGATTAGTTTTCATTAATTTTCCTTGGCTGCTGAAGGCTTTCAGATTGTTAAACAGTGTGTGTTTTCAATTTATTTAAATCGCTGTAATTTGTTGCATTTAATCAACTTGATATTTTGCTACTCTAACAATGTTTTAATTTGATTTAATTGGATAACGCGCTACGCCACTGTTAAATTACCTGGACCCTCCTAAAGAAACACGAAGAGAGTGGAAAAAAGCGAGTGGACCTGTCAAGGGGTCTCAGGTTTGTGCTATTGTCCGGCATTTGATTAATACTTTTCCCGGCTCTTAAGTCTAATCTATTCGAATTGTATCATTATAGTTGAATAAACTGGGTATTTTTAAATTAATGATTGTGTAGAAGGATGACTTACAAAAAGACCGTATGGAATCCCTTTAGAAGAAAACAAGAATTCTCCAGGTCTTTATATACATTTTTTAAAGATACTATAACAGAGAATGATCATTTTGGGAATTTTGCAGATTTACCTTAATTTTTTAAATACATTTTTGCTTAAGCTTTATTATTTCAAATTTCAAGAGATCTGTTTTGGTATAAAAATGGCATAAACGTAATTATGATGAATGTATTTCAAATCATTCGTCATTAAACTCCAAATCTAATTCATTTAGAGAGATTTAAAATATTGAAAGGTTTCAAAATAAATTCAGTTGTTATTATTATTCTATTTTACAGGGTGTTATACATATATATTTTTTTTCATTTCTGACAATTATTTTTTCCTTTTAAATAAGAAGTGAAACTAAAATTTATATTTGATTTTCGTGAAAGTTTCATATGTCTTTCCTCTCAATATCTTTTACCCGTACCGATGTGTTAACTAAATTATGAGTAAACCACAGAATTTAGTTCAATAATGTTTGCTTTATGTAGCGGTTGCATTTTTTTTCAATAGAACGTTTTAAATTTCATTGCATTTATAGAATGTTCATTAAAGTGGTTTTAACTCTTAAGGATGTCGCGGAATTCAACGTATTGCGTTTACGTATTACCGTGCCCTTCCAAAATTCAAATTCCATACTTAATATTAACTAGGTAACGGCATGTATTTCGTATATTTCCAACAAAAGTTCATTGAAATTATTTATCAAGTCGCAATTGCCCATTGCCAGCATTGGCCCAGTTATTGCCAAAACTAATTCAACACCTTTTGTTATGGGTCGAATTTGATTCGGAATAACACGATTCCCAATAACCAAGTGTGAAAAACACTCCCAATGACTAAATGTCGGAACTGACTACAATTTATAATAATTTACTTTAATCTATTGTCCATGGGTGGTCTGCCGCAATGAAATCTGAACACTTTTCTGTTTATCTCGGGTTAACTGGTTGCAAAATATTTTTTTTCATTGCAAAGGAGAGAAAGGTTGAAATGTGCAGTAGGCCGACAGTTGGCTTTAGTACTTATTGCAGCAAATTTATAGACAGGATTTAAATACCTATGGAGTGATATGAGTTGGTTGAATCAAGTCTAATAAATAGCGTGGGAGACATTCATAAACTTTAAACTCGGTCAAAGGGCAGATATTCCAACTTAACCATGGGTAACTGAACTTTTTTCAAAATATATTAAGTTTTATTTGATCTATGAAGGGAGCACCGATGATAAATTTTGGAAAAATTGTGTTCTCATCCAATTATTTTCGCTTTTTGTATGGCGTAAAGTGAAATATCGTTTCTTTAATGAATTTCTATCGATAATTATTATCATTAATAATATGTATATGCACCAGCATTTCGCAAATTAATTGAAAAGAATTAAAGGGCCTTCGCGTTATGAAGGCAAAATTTTGTAATCAATTGTTAGAGCTTAGAATATGTATTTTTACAGACTTCTTTAAATATTCATGAATGGCATAGTCTAATTTACCCTGTGAGAAAAACCGCAAGAAAAAATATATAATTGATTGCTGACCATTAACAATGTTTAAAAACCAGTTTCGGGTTGATATGTAATTTCTTGTTTGATCTTTTTTGAGAAAGAATTATTA